TAAGTTTTCTCAATGTACATGTATGTATTTTTAATAAAAAATTAGATGAGTCTGTAAATATGTGTGTGTACATATACATGTACAGGCATATGTGCTGTGTATAATTGGTATATGTGTATTCTAGCAGTGGTTCTCAGTCTTGGCTGGTTATCACAATCACCTCAAAGGTTTGTAAAAAGAATACTGAGGCCCAGACCCCAGACAAATTGAATAAAAACTTTAGAGGTTGGGGTGATGGATATGTTAACTAGCTTGATTGTAGTGATTATTTCAAAATATTAAGTTGTATACCTTAGATATATACAATTTCTACCTGTCCATTATGCCTTAATAAAGCTGGGAAAATGAGTCAGGAACTTTTTAATCAGCACTTGCTGATAAAAAGACATGAATTTTTCTAATTATACACACATACACATGCAGAATTTTAGGGGTTGAGGTCCAGGCATCGGTGTTTTTAAAGCACCTGGAATGTGTAGTCGGGTCTGAGAACCACATCTCTGGACCCTCCTTGGGCAGGTTCTGACCCAGCATTCCTGCCCCGATCAGTAGAATAAAGGCTCTTCCCTTCATTTCTTTGGGGAGAGATTAGCCCCAGGAGATCCTCAGTCTAGAATCCAGCTAAGGCACCTGCATCCATCCCTAGAGGAAGGACATTCAGGCCTCCCCATCTGATGGCAATAACAGAGCCCAGAAACTTAGTGTCTTCCGCTGTTCACTAGGGATCTTGGGGGTAGCCATACAGTCTTCCCTGATTGCGTCTTGGGTGGTTGATCTTGGGACAATGGCCTGGTGAGACTGGGGTTTGTGCTGGATCCTGGCCTCAGTGACTTGTGTTCAAGTCAGCAGCTGGGTCAAGTCTTTAGTTCCTAAACTGGCTGCCACTGCTGAGCTGTCATCATTCCTAGAGCAGTGACTCCTTGGGCGTGGGCTTCACCATCAAGTGTCATCCTCAGGAGAGGGGCTTTGAGCCACCCTGACCAGTATGCTCTCCAGATCCCTGACAGGTCAACTTCCAAGCAATGGAAGTTAAGGTTGTGGTGCACCAACTACTCGGGGCACCCAGGTGCCATTCCCAAAGCCTGGGTAGCTCAGGAAATGGGCAGTGGTTCCGTCTCCTGGGTCAAAAGTCAGGAGGCTGGCAAGGAAGCAAGTGGGTGTTGATCGGAAACTCAGACTCCTGGAGAGGGGTCCAGGCCCCCGTGCTGGCACAGTGCACCCCAGAGGTGGAGGCTGGATGGTGGGGCCAAGTGCTCTGCTCTAGTTGCTGCCCCAGGTGGTAGAATAAAGGTCCTTCCCTTCATTTCATTTCTTTGGGGAGAGAGGTGCCCCAGGCGATGCTCAGTCTAGGGTTTCAAGCTCAGGGTTTGAGGAATCTCAGTGAGCTTAAAGATCAACTCTTTTCTGGTTCCATGTGCAGGATGCCCATGGAATGCTGGGTCAGGACCTGCCCAAGACCCTCCTCACTGACCTGAACCACTTTGCCACCTTTTCTCTTCCTTCTCTACCTAACCTTCCCCTCCCATAAGACCTGCCAACGCAATTCATTTTCAGAACAATGAATATCTATCCATTCAAGGTGATCTTCTTCCAGAAAAATGGGGCCAACTTACTCTTCTATCACCTACTCTACCCTACTCTAAAGTGATTCTCCAGTAAACCAGGAGAATTCGCTGTAGTGGGATACCTTTCTCACTGTAGTGGGGTAGAACATTCGGCCACCTACACACTCTGGAGCTGCTGCTTCTCAACAACTATTATGATATCATTATGTCCCCATGTCTTTCAAAACATTTCCAAGAGATACAAACTCCTTTCTAACACATATACCATATGTGTTTTATTTAGATTGTTTTCAATTTTTCACTTTTATAATAAATATACTTTAAACCTCCTTGTACATGAATCTAATAAGCATGGGATTTTTTATGGGGTTTGGGGGTAGTACTTCAGCATGGGAACAGAACAGAAATGGCAAAAAGAGGTGGAAAAAAATAGAAGGCAAATTTAGGAGACCAGCGAGTAAAAAGAAACCCTTGAATTCAGGGTAATATTAAAAATATTTAATTGGCATAGGACACACACTGACTGATCAGAATCAAGGCTAGCTGTGGGAGCAGAGCAGGGTTCTGGAGGTTCCCTGCTAAGCCAAACATCACCCCTTTAGATAATGGATTATTGATCGTGGGGGTTCTAGGGGAAAACCTGGGGCAACTGAGCGATCGAGGGCATTAGGAAGATGGATCCAGAAAGCAGCTATTGACCAACCGGTGAGGAACTACTTTGATAGTTTAGTAACTTGTAGAGCCATAGCAGTGCCTGTGTGCTGCAGGTCAGCCCCGATGTGGCGACCTTGTGGCAGTCCTCACACCGCTGGAGACTGTCCCATGCCTTTTCAAAGCTTTTCTCAACCTACACGTCATACATCCGAGTGGTGATGGCGGAGGACAAATGTTTCTTGGCTTCCTTGTATGAGATAGGGGAAAAGCAAGACACAGAGAAGGGTTTATAACGTCTCTAGAGACTCGAGGGAGTCGTTGGTCACGCTGGGAAGAGAGCATGAGGCTAGTAATGCGTATTTGCTCTGCATGGAGACAGCTCCTGTCAGACTGAGTTTCGCCAGGAGACTTCTAGTCAGTTTTCATGGGGACTGATAATATTGCCATGGCACATGCGGGAAAAAGCTATAAAGAAGCTCCATGATACTCTGGGCAGGTCTTAGAGAAATAAAACGTCTCTCATAGGAAAATAGGAAGCCAGAGGGTTTTAGAAATGTTGTCCTGACTCACAAAGCCCTCATTTTCCACACCCGCCTGTGTCAACAAAGTCAAGAGGGATTTCAAATGAGTTGAAACGTTTTTTGCAAACTGTGTCTCCTGTCCAACGAACAAGCCTTCGGAATCACATCTAAGGTGTTTCATTTGCACTGCTCCCGAGGCTTGAGGGGGTGCAGGAAAGGGGCTCATCCGTATTCTTCATGGGGGCTCCTGTGGAGGCTGGGTTCTGGGGAACCCCCTGGTTTCAAGGGTTATGAGTCTCCAATCCTTAACTCACCCTATCAAATGGGTGGGGGTGGGAGGTGCGGCTCAGGAACACAATTAGTCCATCAAAAATAAAGTGAAACAAAAGAATGTGATATCTTTTTCTTTATTGATTTTAGAGAGAGAGGAAGGGAGAGAGAGATAGAAACATTGATGAGCGAGAACATCAATTGGCCGCCTCCTGCATGCCCCCCACTGGGGATCGGGCCCACAACCTGGGCATGTGCCCTGACTGGGAATCAAACCAGCGACCTCTTGGTGCATTGGTTGATGCTCAACCACTGAGCCACACTGGCCAGGCAAATCCTAACATTATGTATCGACAGTTTATTTCAGGATAATGCTTACTATTGAAGGAATTGGGCACTGGGAGGTAACATGACTTGCCCAAGGCTGAGCAGTTGCTTACATCTAAAGCTAAAATTGAACCCAGAGAGCCTGGCCTGGGGTCTGTGCTTATAGTTGTCACACTACATTGCCTCCCAGAGGGGAGGCCACACTCGTTTCTGTGGCCCGAGGCCTGCCTACCTTCAGCCCCTCCACGTCTCCTGTGCTCTGGTTTTATTGAATGACCTGCAGTTCCTCAAAAGAGCCTCTCTCCTCTGGGCCCTTGGACAATACCTTTTGTCTAGTGGACTCTGGAAACCCTGTCCTTCAAGACTCGTATTTGGAGACGTTGGACAGGTAACTACCAGTGATTGAATAGAATGGAAGTAGGAAAGTCAGCAAGAGGAATTAGGGATCAAGAATGTCACAGGTATGCCACATGCCCACCCAGAAGTCCCATCAAAATTGCTCTTCTCCCTTCCCTCTCCCAGGAACATCTGGCTAACCTGACAGATGTGTCCTCACGCACGGTGCCCCGCTGGGTCGGTCCTGCAGAGTCCACCCCTGTTAAGCGGGCTGGCCCGTGTGGAAGGGGAGCCTGCCTGTATTCACAGTCACCAGGAGCTGGGCAGGGGTCAGTGGCACTTTCCCTGACTGGAAACCAACTCCTTTATTTTGTTTGCTCTGCCAGTTATTTTCCTGCCATTAACACTCTTTTCCTGGCCAATGGTCTAAGTACACAAGGGATGTTACGGAGCAAGTCTAATGAAAGGGGAGCTTCAGGTGGGTGTGTCGGCTATGTCCTAGGTCTAGTGGTGACAACCACTAGGGAAATTCTAAACGACGCCCAAAGTCAACTCTTCAGCCGGTGACAGAGAACTGAGGATGGTTCATAATAGATGACAGTGTCGAGACATCTCCAAAGGAATTGTGCTTCCGTGACCCCGTAGAGCTCTGATTCCATTGGCATCCCCATTTCTGGGAACCCTACATGGGGTGTGCTTTTGTCTCCTTTAAGAGAAGTATGCCCAGCTGCGGGGAGGGGTTCTGCCCATACTGTATCAAGGTGAGGGGTACTCTGGTTACCATCAGAATGGTCCACGCGTCCATACAATGTCGCACTGATAGGGTTCTTCCTGCCTTTCTGGTCCCTCCTTGCTTGACTTCTGAGTCGAAGTCCCCCTTAAGTTCCTCTTCCTCCCTCACCAGGCTGCAGCCTCCAGGATGAGAGTCCCCACCTCCTCTGCAGCAAATGCCAGAAGCTCTTTGAAACTTGCCCTTCGTCTCTGGAATCCTGACTCTCAGGCTGGGCATTCCAGCAGCAACTCCTTGCACACGTATCTTGAAAAGGCCCCTTCTAAATGGTCTCAGCTCAGGCCCCAAGGACAGGCTCTGCTTCTGTGAGATTTGCAAGGTGCCAAAAACATCTCCAGTGCTCTGGCTGGAGCAGCCAATGGAAACCACGACCAGGACCCCTCCCACTACCCCCTCAGTGGCATCCCAGCCTCCCGAATCTCTCCTCCCTCTCTTCTGGCTTGTTTGACACAGACGTGAGGACCCAGAGCCTCAGGGTCTGAAGAACCCTCTCTGTCTGCCCTGTGGGTCCCAGACAGAGCTTCATCTTCTCCAAAGATGGCCTGGAGAAAGTTGCTCCTTGTCTCCTGTTTCTTGGCCGCTTTGCTCCTGACCAGTGAGTATGGGGAGTCCCCAGCATGGACTGGTGCTAGGTGAGGCTGTGCAGGTGGCTGGCCCAGAGGGTAAAAGAGTTTGCTTATGTGTGTGTGTGTGTGTGTGTGTGTGTGTGTGTGTGTGTGTAACACAATACAGAGAAAACCTCTTGCCTGTTGGTTTCCGGGGAGATCAGCTCTGGGCTGGTGTGTGTGGGACCCAGGACCCCACACTGGGGCCTGGCAAGTCACTGTTCTGGGAAGGACTGTCCTGGCCTGGCTGGAGGTGAAGGTCCCTTTGTTGTGCTACAGCCCTCTCGACTCTTGTCCACAGTGCTGCAGGAGGGGACCGGGGCATCAGTGGGCACCAGCCAGGTGGCCAGACAGGAGGCCCAGGAAGGTGAGTACAGGGGCCACCCAGGGGTCCAGGGCAGGTGGGCCAGCCCCTTTGGTTGCCCTGGTGAGCCCATGCTGGCTGTGACCAGCCCCCTTTGGGTTTCAGGTGTGGAACAGAAGATTTTCATGCAAGAATCAGATGCCTCGAATTTCCTCAAGAGGCGTGGCAAGCGGTCCCCCAAATCCCGAGAGGAGGTCAATGGTAAGGATGATGGTGACCTGCCCACTGCTGGCCCCTTGGGTTCCTTCTCTCTCCCAGGCAGCTGGACTGTGGGGACCCAGGTCCTCAGGCATCAGCGTGACCGCAGCTCTTAATTTCCTTGCTGGCAGGGCACACCTTTTCAGACTGATGGTGCTGTCAGGGTAAGAAACAGAGGGACAGTGCCTCTACTCCTTGCGGTGATGAGCTACATCCTGACTCCAGAAAGTTAGAAACGTAAAGGGCACTGTCTCTGTGCTAGTTGGGACAGACACAGCACCTCAGTGTGTGCTCCTGAGGGTATTGCAAAGTGAGCCCTTATATGCAAGAGCAGCAGCGTGGCAAGCGGGAGAGGCGCCAGCACTCGGAGCTGGGATTGTGGGTTTGGAGACAGCTTTGCTGCTAAGTGGCCTTGGCCACTTCCTCTCCCAGGGCCCAGGTTTCCTTATTTACAAGCCCCTGAAAGCATGGTGTTCAGCCAGCAGTGTTTTTTCAAAGTTTTTGTTTCTAGTGCATGTGGGAAGCTTTTGAGCTCAGAAGCCTGTTTCTTTCTCAACCTGAAGTAAGCCCTGGTGTCTCCCGCTAGCAGGGACCCTCATTTGCATGACCTGCCCGACCCTCGACCCTCGACCCTCGACCCTCGACCCTCGAAGGCATTTGAGTTCTCTGCCCTTGAACTAGATTCTTCCAAGGACTCTGAGCGCTGACTGTCTCCGAGTGTGTGGCTTGATTCATGACTTGTGTGTGTGTCTGAATCAGCTCTTTGTGTCGCTCGGCACACTCGGCAAGGTAACTTGCTCCACAGAACTAATAGGACTGTTTTCAAATGACGGGAAAGAAGAGAGCAGAAAATGGCCGGGAGATAAAATTCCTTTAAAAAAACAAAAGCTAGATAAATATTTACCAAACTGGGAAGTTCTCCAGACCTCACCCAATTTGGGATTTAAAAGCCAGCAACTGTCCAGAAACACCGCAAAGACTGACAGAGGTCGGACAGTTCTCGATGGAAATCAGAGCCGCAGCCTCTGGCAGACTTGCAGAGGAAACAGCTGTGCATTTTAGACAGTTTCCCTCCTCAGAAGCTGAGCAGGTCGGTGAGGCTTACCACTAAGCCAGGAGTTCCTCCCGGCAAACAGAAGCTCCGTGTGTCAGTTGTAGGGCCCAGGGCAGCCTGGAGATGGCCTAGGATGCACCCAAGTTCCTGTCTGGCCACCCAGTCACCTTCAATGTTTGGGCAGGAGATGAGTGCCCAGTGATGTCTCAGGTCAGGTAAAAGGCAAGTGATAAACTTGAATTTGGAACCGGGGAACCGGCATCTGACATTGCTAAGCCTCCAGGTAAAGATGCAGGTCGCCTTAGGTGAAAGGAGAAACTGATCGGACGAAATGCATGTTTGTGAGAAGAGGTGTACATACATAGTGCATAGTGGAGGAGCAGCATCTTGGCCCTGGTGTGTGTGGCTCAGCGGTAGCGCATTGGCCCACGGACCAAGGAGTCGCGGGTTCCATTGCAGCCAAGGGCATGTACCTCGGTTGCAATTTGTCCCTGGCCCTGGTTGGGTTGTGCAGGAGGCAACCAGTCGATGTGTCCCTCTCACATCGGTGTTTCTCTCTCTCTCCCTTTCTCCCTCTCCCACTCTATCTGAAGATAAACAGAAAAATATCCTTGTGTGAAGATTAAGAAAAAAAAAGAATAGCATCTTGCCCCAAGAATTAGTTTTTTTTTTTTCATTGATAAGTCAAAGGTCCAATTTGTGGCACCTCCGAAAAGGCAATTTGGGGATATTGTTGCTGTTCTGGAGTCCGGCGGGACGGAAAATGCTGCTTTGAGGACTGGCAGTGGCTCATGAAACACCTGCCTAGAGTCTACACCCCTGTCCTCCCTCCCTCCCCCATCTAGCAGCTTTCTGGTGCCGATAGCTCCATGGTAACCTGTGGCGGGTTGTGAGGTGGGTTCTAGCCATAGTGGGATGTGGGTGCTGAACTCTGGGCCCAGTCGCAGCTGTGTAACCTTGCTGAAATCACCTCATCTCTCCAAGTGAGTCCCCTCCTAGGAAATGTGTGGATGTGGGGAAAGAGGTGAGGCATGGGGAAGGACTGGGGTACCAGTCCCTTCTGCCACCCTAAAGATTCCTGCGACTATGCAGGGAAAGTCACAAGTGTGGGAAAACCTGGGATTTACCTAAGGAACCTGCACTGAGACCGATTCAGAAAACTTGATTTTTGTCTGAGTTAAGTTAAATAATATAAACCTAATATAAATAACTAGTATTTACTTATTCTTGTAAGCTCATTACTTTCAAGAAGGGTTTGAGATGGTTTATAGTATTGTTGTTTTGCAAAGAAATACTTCTTGTCTCTCCCGGCACCATTATACTGTGGGGTGGGGCAGAAAACCAATGGCTTTCCTCAGTTTCTCTGCTTCTGTCATAAACCCCCCACTTCCTCTTGCACATCCCACCTGGTGGGGGCAGCAGCACCTCAGTCTCCCGCTTTGATGTGAGGGGAGGGAGGAGCCTTCTGAGGGACCAGCTGCTCCTGCACCAGGCATGACCTTGCTGCGGCCATGGACTCTCCCAGCTGAAGCCCAGACAAAAGAGATAGCTGGGAACTAAGAGTGTTTTAACTAATTTCCACCAGACAACCAGAGCTCTTGCAGCAAAGAGGTCAGTGTGAAGATTGGAGGGCAGAAATGGATGGACTTGGAAACTAGTTTATTTTACATCTAAAAATCTAAAATGTAGAAAGATTTTTTGGGGGGCTAAATTAGAGCAGGCAAGAAAGAGTTACATCCGCCACTGAGGTGGGAGGTGGTCATTCAGGTGTTGGTGAGCTTTACTGTTTAGCCACCAGGGACCGGTCACCATGTTTAGTAGTTCTCAGTGACCATTTTCAGTTTTCACTGGGTGTGTGTCTTCCAACCATAGAGGTGTGCTTTTAATTTTATAATGTGGAACTTGGATTCCTCATTAAAAGGTTTACAGCCAACTTTACAAAATAAGAGATACCTGCCCGGCTGGTGTGGCTCAGTGGTTGAGCATTGACCAAGAGGTCACAGGTTCAGTTCCCAGTCAGGGCACATGCCCAGGTTGTGGGCTCGATCCCCAGTGAGGGAAGTACAGGAGGTAGCCAATCAATGTTCTCTCTCATCGGTGTTTCTATCTCTCTCTCCCTCTCCCTTCCTCTTTCTCTCAAAATTAATAAAGAAAAAAAATTAAATAAAACAACAAAAAAAAGTAAGGGATACCTGCGCTTCATGTTTCTGTCAGGAAGTTTGCCTGATCACCCCATATCCTGTATCAGTCATCTATTGCTGTATAACAGTCAATCCCCAATCCAGCAGCTTGAACAAATTACCTCAACATTTAGCAGCTGAAAACATTGCTGTTTCGCATTTGCTAAAGTCAGATCTAGGTCTAATTAGCTGGTAGCCTCCGACTCAGGCTTTCTCAACAGGCGGCAGTTATCTCAAAGCCTGACTGTGAGAAGGTTCATTTTCAAACATTTCACGTGGCTGTTGGGAAACCTTGGAGCCCTGCTGTGGGTCAGGACACGGGTTGCTTGCCACAAGTGGCCTCTTCACAAGGCAACTCACAGCATGGCAGCTGGCTTCTCTGAGTGAGAGCAAAACTGAGACAGAGGCTGACCAACCCAAGACAGAAGCTGCGGTCCTGTTTATAACCTATGTGGGAAGTCACATTCCACCACTTTTGCCAAATTCTGTTCCTTTGCAGTGAGTTGCTAAGCCAGCCCCCCCCCCCCCAGTGGGAGGGAATGAGCATACCTTGGGGCAGGAGTATCAGGGGTCACCTTGGATCCTCTAGCACATGCCATCAGTGTATAGATTTCTATCATAGCAGCCATAACGCCTCTTAGTAGAGGGACAGAATCTCTCTTACATGCCTCTTTAATTCCAATGTGTATCTTCCATTCTGGCCATCATAGGTGCTCAGAGATGTTGAATGGACTTGAAGGTATTAATTAGCGTGAAATGAACTTTAAGTTGGATGACTCCCTCTTATAATTCATTTCTGATCATTGGACTTCTAGTTTCAAGTGCCCTAGTACACCTGGTATACCTGGATACACCACTAATTTTATGAGTGAAGTACATTTGCTTCATTTGCAAAAAGAAGCAATTGGATGGGAAGACCTCCCAGGTCCTACAAGTTTGAAAGTCTGTGTTGGGAGGAAACCATTTCAGTGGGGCCCCCATCCTTAGCTCTCACAGACAACCCCTTCCCAACCAGACTGTTTCTTAGGCAAAGTAACTGGTGTTCCCCTAAATGTGTGTAGACGCCCCTCTCCTTAGGGGTAAACCTCACCTCTCACCTGTTCATAGCGGAGAACAGGCAGAAGCTGTGGGCTGACGAGCTACGAAGAGAATATCATGAGGAACAACGGAATGAGTATGAGAACTTCGTGGAGGAGCAAAATGATGGTAAGAGCTCTTCAGCCAGCACCTCTGGGGAGGTGGGGCTTGGTGGGGAAGCCACCAGTTGCCTTCATTTTTTCTCCCGAAATTTTAATTGGAGGAGAAAGAGGAGCTCTACTTTTGTGTCTGTGGGAGCCTTGAAAAGAAGGGAGAAAGTCATGAATGGCCACAGAACTTGAGAAGGGATGGAAAGCCCTTGATTACCATGGGCTCAGGGGCGGGGGTGGGGGCTGGGTGAATTGGGGGCTGACTGCATTCTCTCCTACTTGGGGATCACTGTGGTGGCTTGGCCTGTGATCGCTGTATTAGTGCCTACGCTTGTGGCTTAGCACTGGTAGAGTTGGATTGGGAGGATTTCAAACTCAGTTTTGTTTTTGTTTCTCTTCCCAGCAAAAAAATCATGTTTTATTTAATAGTTATTGTACCTAAATGAATCAATAGCAACCATAAAAACTGATTTGTGAAGAATGCACAGTTTTCTGGAATGCATGGCTCTGGCTGGTTTCACTCAGTGGTTAGAGTGTCAGCCTGAGGATCAATGAGTCGTGGGTTCGATTCTGAACAAGGGCACATACCTCTGTTGCAGTTCGTCCCTGGCCCTGGTCGGGTGGTGTGGGAGGCAACCAGTTGATGTGTCCCTCTCATGTCGATGTTTCTCTCTCTCCCTCCCACTCTATCTGAAGATAAATAGAAAAATATCCATGGGTGAGGATTAAAAAAAAAAAGTCAGTATATGTCAAACTCAATTTTACGTATCTTGGATTCACATCAATGTAATGGCTTTAGGAACGACTCATCCTGGAAAACCAAGGCCTCTGTTTACCTATTCACTATGATCAGCATCTTATCTGACTGGTGGAGGCAAACCAGGAAAACTCAGAGAGCACTGCTCGCTGGTGCCCTGCCTTGAACCCTTCCCCACCTCCCACACCGACATCGGATATGAAGTCGCCAACACGCCCCTAGCACGGGGCATCGGCATGTTGCTATGTGGTTTTCTTGTGCCCTTACCTTACCACACAGTCTTCCACCAGGTTGAATTTGACTTTGGAGCTACTAAGTATCCTCAAGTAACAATCCTTAGGTACATTTAATAGGAATCAGACCAGCAGGGGTGTGGGTGTGGGTGTGCATGTGCATGTGTGTGCAGGTTCCTTTTTTTGATCTTTCAAGACTGAAATGCTCCTGAGCAAGCTCCAGGATGAATCTGAGCTTAGACCTAGGCCCCAGGTTAGGTCGCCTTTGTGAGAGATCAGCAAATTCAGTTATGAAGGCATCACCTCCTGCCTTGTTTGCTCTGGTGGATGTGTGAGGTGACACCCATGTGGGGCACCTTGCAGTGGAAGAATATGATCACCAGACACCTGAGGGCTGCTAGCAGCAGCTGGCTGTGCCCTGCAGGCAACAGGTGTCAGGCTCAAAGCCTGCAAACCAAACTTTTCTGGGAACAAATCAGGCTGTTGTAACTCAGAGGACAACACTTTTGTTTACTTTGGTGGATGGTGTGAGAAGAGGCATTTGAAAAATGAGAATGTGGTCTCCAAAATTCCTTCAGGGTTTTTTTTTTCTCCCACTTATAGTATTAAAAACAACATTTTATTTTGTGCCTTTTTAAATGCTGCAAGTCCAAATCCCTAACATCCAGGTAGAAAAACTCCCTGTTCCCCTTTCCTGATAAAATTAGGATGAGAGGTCTGGCTCCCCAGGGATGACAGGTCCTCCACCAAGGCCAAAGGACACTAAGGTCAGGGACTGCAGGCCTTGCCCAGAAAGATGCAGACCCTGCAGGGCAGGGCACAGGCCTCCGGGGACTGTGGTAACCGTTGCTGTTGCCACGGTGAGCACCTGCTCCTCCGGCGGTGGGCTGGGCTGCCCAAGCTTACAACCACCCTCTGAGGTCTTGCAACTTCCATGTTACAGTTTCAAAACTCATCCTGAGAAAGGATATGTGAATATCCAAGGTGACATTGCTAGTAAGGCATCTGAACTAATATAGCCAAGCCCATGTTGCTGTAAATGAAGGATGGCCTCATGCGTGAGGTCCCAGAGATCTTCGATGCAGGGACTGGCTGTGAGGATGAAGCAAGGTGGGGGAAGCAGAGGAGCCCAGAGGGGTCTCCCCAGAGCTTCCTGAAGGAGGCAGAGGTGGAGCAGGCCCAGCCGGCCTGGGGTAAATGTTGACTTGGGGGAAACAGCTCCATTTACTCCTCCTCCCCGGCCTCTGCCCCAGAGCACAGAGTGATGCACAGTGGCCGGGTTCCCCCAGGGGCTTGCTTCCTAGAAGCAGGTGCTGAGGGATTGCCATGGTGACCAGGACGACTTTCATTTCCAATAGAGAAATTTTAGGCAGGTGGTCTGGAGGGAGATTTCTGGACAAGAGTGACCTTCCTGAGGACCTGAACTGGCATCAGGAGCCTAGGTCTACTGTTGACCATAGGTGTTCTTCAGGAATACATCTTATCAAATATAGTAAAATCAGGACTTTCTTACTCATTAAGATCTCCCTTCTGATCTGTTTAGACTTATACTATGAAAGTATATGTGAAAGTACGTGTATAATAAACCTCCACATAACAACACCCAGAATCAATCATTGTGAAGATTCCCCCACACTTGCTGCATCCATCCCTTTTTCCAGTTAGTATTAAAAACATTATTTTTAAAGCTTAGAAAACACAGAACAATATAGAAATAACAATTACACATGACCCTTTCATTCCAAATTGACAATTATTTTCTTCCATGATTTTTTTTCAAAGGTATGATGTGTAGTCTACTTTCATTACTACGTTGTTACTGTCTCGGGGTCAGGATTTGAGCCGGTCTCTGCAGGCGGCTCTTGCCCCTTTGCTGGCTGTGCAGGGAACAACGAGCTGGGGTGCGGACCCTGGCTGGGCTCTCTTGGCAACCAGCTCTGTGACCTTCACCTGTCTGGGTCTGATTCTTTTTGTTTGTTTGTTAATCCTCACCCGAGGATATATTTTCCATTAATTTTTAGAAAAAGTGGAGGGAAGGGAGAGAAGGAGAGACAGAGATGGAAAGACGGAGACACACAGAGAGAAAATCATCGATGTGAGAGAAACATATCGATTGGTTGCCTCCCACATGCACCCGACCGGGGCCAGACATTGAACCTCCAACCCACGTACGTGCCCTTGACTGTGAGAGCTGACAGTCTAACCACTGAGCCACACCAACCAGGGCTCAGCCTGATTTTTAAAATACGACCTTTGGATTTGTTGTTCTCTCAGACCCTGTCAGCTCTACCGTTTGAGGTCTGTCTTCAATGCCCACGGGTGTTGGCCCATGGCACCGCGGGGTGGGTAGTTCGGGTTGACAGATGCCAAGAGAGCTTGGTGGCTCTCTTCAGGTCTTCTCCGTGCTAACACAGTCTCATCTTTCCTCCCCAGAACAGGAAGAAAGGAGCCGGGAGGCTATTGAGCAGTGGCGTCAGTGGCATTACGACGGCCTGTACCCGTCGTATCTCTATAACCGCCACCACATCTGACCTGGTCGTGACGGACCCAGAAGACAAAGCTTGAAATGCACATACTCACCCCAGGTGGTTGAGCAACTCTCTCCCACACAAACAGCCCCTAAAGGTTCTCAGTTTGGGGCCTACTGGTAAATACATAAGGCCTTTTGTTCGATGGATTGAAACGCTCTGGCTTTCGCTTCTTTGCAGATTAATTCTGAGATGAGCAAGTGCTGTGGGACTGCCTGGCACCAAACCTGCAGTGTCCCCCTGCTTAGTCGTGGTTCCCAAAGCATGAGTCCCATTCCACAGAACAGTGAGAGGAATCACAGTAAAGAGTGATTACATGTTTGCTTATAGCTTCCAAATAAAAATGCCGCGTCAACAATGGATTATCTTTTTTAAAAATCTTCACCCATGGACATGCTGAGGGACAGAGGGAGAGAAACATCGATCGGTTGCCTTCTGTACACGCCCCAACTGGGAATCAAACCAGCAACTCTTTGGTGCCCAGGTCAACTAACTGAGCCACTCTGGCCAGGCATGAATTTTCTTCTTCTTGAATCCCAGACTGAGGGGTGTCACACTACCACCCCTGAGTTGACAGTGTCACTCACACTGACTTGGGCATTTGAAAGCTTGAAATCAGGAGTACTATTCACTACTTCCTCAGTATGTCTCAGTAGTCACACAAGAGCAGTGCTAAAACAACTGCTTTGTAAAACCATCCTCTGAGACTATTGCTGAGCCCAGGTGCTTCTCTGAAGAGTGTTAAGGTTCAACAGAGGTGTTTTCTTCCTTTTTTCTTTTTTTGTTAATCCTCACTGGAGGATTTTTTTCCCATTGATTTTTAGATAGAATGGAAGGGAGAGAAGGAGAGAGAGAGAGAGAGAGAGAAACATTGATGTGAGAGAGACACATCGATTGGTTGCCTCCTGCATGACCCCGACCAGGGCTGGGGATCAAATCTATAACACAGGTATGTGCCCTTGACCAAGAATTGAACCTGAGACACTTCGGTGTGTGGGCTGATGCTCTAACTGCTGAGCCAAACTGGTCACGGTTCAACTGTGGTGTTTTTCATTACACCAATCAGAAGCCAGGTTTACAGCGAAGCCAGTGGTAATTCAAACTAGAAAGCAGATAAAATTGAGTTTTGGTATCATCTGCTTTTTCTTCGTAGTGCCTGTATGAGTTGATTAGGGCTGCCATAACCAAGTACCACAAACGGGGTGGCATAAAACAATATCAATGTATTCTCTCCCAGTTCTGGAGGCTAGAAGTCTGAAATCAAGGTGTTGGCAGAGCCAGCGCCTCCAGGAGAGGGTCCTTCCTCGCCCCTCCCAGCTCCTGGTAGGCCAGGCTTCCCTGGCTCAGGGCAGCATCCCTGCACTGTCACGTGGCCTTCTCCTCTCCCCCTCTTCACGTCACCCTCTCTCTGCCTTTCTGTGTTTCTCCTCTTTGTATGCAGACACCAGTCCCGTTGAATTAGAGTTCATCCTACTAACCTCATCTTCACTTGATTACATCTGCAAGGACCCTATTTCCAAACAAGGTCACATTCACGGGTACAGAAGGTTAGGACTTCAGCTTATCTTTTGTGGGGACACAACTCAATGCTAGCCCCGTTCTTCTCTCCCAACCACTCCGCCTTCCTGCCCCTGACTCAGCATCTCTCCTACTTCCATCCTTGCTCTCAACTGCCTGCAGGAATTCCACACTGAGAATGCAGAACAACTCACACAGGCACCTCTGCCAGTCACAGCACCCTGGAGGATAAAGAAGACCCCAGGTGAAAAATAAGCATCCACGTTTGATCACCTCCCTGTCCCCAGCCCTGGGCCCTCTGCTTCCTCCATGACATAGGCCCTGGCCCGCTAGTCCAGCTTGCTTTTGAGGTTGGGCTTCCAGGGCACTACAGGGCAACTTTCCTTCCAGGAAAAGCTGCTCAATTGTGGCAAAATACTCTACCAGAGGTGGGGTTATGTATTACATCAGGCCACTTTGCAATAAATGCTGTATTTTAAAGTAATTTAAAAAAAAATAACTTTTCTTGCCCTGGCCAGTTTGGCTTAGCTGTTAGAGCATCGGCCTGTGGTCCAGAGAGACCCGGGTTCTGTTCCTGCTAAGGGCATGTACCTCAGTTGCAGTTTGTCCCCGGCCCTGGTTGGGTCGTGCAGGTGGCAGCCACTCGATGTGTCCCTTTCATATCAATGTCTCTCTCTCTCTCTCTCTCTCTCTCTCTCTCTCTCTCTCTCTTCCCCTCTCTCCCTCCCACTCTATCTGAACAAAAAATGGAAAAATGTCCTCGGGTGAGGATAAAAAAATAAAATAAAAATAATTTTTCTTTATTGACTTTAGAGAGAGGAAGGGAGAGGGAAAGAGAGATAGAAACATCAATGAGAGAGAAAATCAATTAGCCGCCTCCTGCATGTCCCTCACTGGGGACTGGGCCCACAACCTGAGCATGTGCCCTGACCAGGAATTGAACCAGCGACCTCTTGGTGCATGGGTCAATGCTCAACCACTGAGCCATACCAGCCAGGCTAAAGTAATTTTTAAAGACTGATAAAATCTTTAAAACATTCTAGTAATAAAAGGATTATGCATTTTTAAAATCACCTTCTATATGATTAGCACTGTATTTTCTCACAGACTCTAAGCAGGAACTGCACTGTCCTTGGGAAGGGGGGAAGGGCACTGGGTTAACCCCATCATTGACCATTACAAGGGCAGGCAGAAGAGAAGAGCCGTTCTCCTCCCAGCAGTCCAGATTCATAATCTGGAGCCAGGCTTAGGGCACAAGTCAAGTCCCATCACAAGTGACAGCAGTGCCCAGTTTTCCAGTGACATGATGTGATTTGTGAAATGTGCCCAACGTGACAAGATTGGGAGCCATGACACCAGACTATTTTGATGATGCTCTTTTAGGGATCATAGATGTATCTGCTCTAAAGTTATGTTACCAACCCATATCTTAGGTGTCTGTGGGTTCTAAACTGGATAAAATGCTTCCAAAAGACACCGGGAAAGTAATGCAGCTTCCTCAGGCTTGGAAACACGTACACCGAATATTCAACTGAAAACTGTATTTTACCACTTAGAATATTCTTTACACAGAGCAGCAAATGTAAGCAGTATAGACACAAAAGGAGTCTTTCTTGGTGCTTCTTCAGTTCCACCCGAGGTGAGCCCTGCCAGGGATTTAGTGTGTATCTTTTCACTTTTTCTGTTTATATGCACACACATATTCTCATCTGTTACAATGGCAATGTCATATGTGATCACATAGGTCCGGGCAGCCCCATTCCCAGTAGCACAGAAGGAGCTACTTCACTACACAGGTGGATACCAGCTGAGCTCTGGAGGCTCCCTCTAAGAAGGCCTAACGTGAGCTTTTACCTCAACCAAATAGTTGTATCATTATATTGTCACCATGTTCCATGATGGTTTCTATTAAGCGTAGAGAGCATGACGGGATGGGGTCCTTTTACTGGAACTCTTCCTACGGTGGAGCTGATGCAGCTGTGCCCAGCTTCAGCACACTTCTCTGGGGGGTAGTGGGTGCTCAGGGCATGGTCTGTGCTTCTAAGTTTTCCCTCAAGGATCCCTTTCTTATAATCATATCACATGGCCCCAGTGGGGTGTGTGTGTGTCTTCACTCCACACAGGAGTTTATATACCCATTCCTCTCTCAGTCAGATTTCTGGAAATAAAATTCTGAGCCATAACATACACACATTAAACTGGATAAATCAGATTTATCTTCGAAGAGGTTAAGTGCTTACCATCACTGAACATCTTTGCCAATCCTTTCTTAAACCAAACAAATGGGGTCCGGACAGGGAACCCCGGCAATATACAGTATTCTTGGTGTCTCCTCAGACAGCAAACCTCACCTTCAGCTCAGTTCTCCACTCGGGTCTCGCCAGGTGACGGGGCACACCTCAGCCACAAAAGTCATCTTTTGCCATAGGCCACCCAGCTGCTCCGGGCCTGTTCGCACAGAAAAGCTCTTCAGAAACCCGCTGTTCCCTCAAAGCCTTGGCTGAGAGGAGCAGGAGCCAGCTGTACATTACAGAGCAGTGGCCGTGGAAGAAACTGCCGCAAAATGAAAACTTTTCAGATTCCTCAATATTTCATTACTTTTTTTACATTATGTGACGAGACTGAAATTATTTGGGTGGAAGGAGTATTTCAAAGTGCTGAAGCATAGACTAGGAACAGAAAGGCCCGGAGTTCTGCTGTTCGCCGTCCATCCCCCCAGGCTCTGAGCTGCATGGGGGAAGTCAGTGGGCCTGAGCAGAACCAAGGTCAGACACGTTCCTCCTGAAATGACCGGGCAGGAGAGGCATGCGGGGATCCCATCTGCTTCCTGTCACACCCCCTAGAGTGGCAGAACAGGGAGCCTTAGCGAACTGGCCAGGTATATACCCTGGCTCAAGATCTGTGCTGTTAGGGGTGAGGCTCCTCACAGTATCTAACCCCACACATAGGTGAGAAAGTCTTGCTAACAGTGTTGTAGCTCACTGTCCTTAGAATCCAACTTGTCTTTGAGCTGCCCTAATTAACAACCTCAGGGACAGCCAGATGAACAATGGGGAATGTTATAGACGGCTTTAGCCCCATAAAAATTAACCAGAGTTTGACCTTCACTGGGAATTTGAAAAGCAACATCCTTCAGGAAAAGGGAGGACAGAAACGGCCCCAAGGCCAGAGTGTCCTGCATGCTCTGTGAAGAAACTGATAGGGAGAAACTGAAGCTCCCTCTACTCCATAAGACTGTAACTGTTCAACATGTGTGTATTGCACCTGACGGACCGCTGATATCCGTCTCGAATTTGTTAGTTTTTAAAACTTGGATAATGGAATGAATAGCAGGACAGATGTATGCTGACCCAGTTCACCCAGTTCCCTTTCGCCTCAGCTCCCCCCCCCCCCTTCCCTCCTACTGATCGCTAACTGCCTGGGCTTCTGTTCAAGCAGCTTGCTTGCTCTGCTAAACTCTTGACTGACCCCTGCCCTATATAAGCAACCCTCCCCCTGAGCTCGGGGCTGCAGTTCTCCTCTGTGTAGGTTGGCTGCAGTCCC